GGGGCGCCTAGTACTAGTACTAGTACCAGTACTAGTAGTAGGACAATAGCAGTAGTAGTAGAATAGGAGTAGTAGCAGTAGTAGTAGTAGTAGTAGTAGTAGTAGTAGTAGTGGTAGCAGTAGTAGTAGTGGTAGTAGTAGTAGTCGTCGTCGTAGTAGTAGTGGTAGTAGTAGCAGTGATCGTCGTAGTAGTAGTAGTAGTAGCAGCAGCAGCAGTAAGAGTAGGAATAGGAGTAGGTAGTAGGTAGCAGGTAGCGGGTAGTAGCACTAATGACTAATAGCAGCTGTATTAGCTGCATAAGTCGCATTGGTAGTGTCAGTAGGACGAGAGGACAAGGAGTAGCTGCAGCACTAGTCATGCTCTGCTTCCCCCTGTTGTTAGCTCTGCCCTGACACGTCCTTGATGTGTCGCTTGGCCAAGTAGAGTAAGGGGAAGGACAGGGAGTGCCTTGGGTCCGACGGCTTCGAACTGGGCCATGGGTAAACTTACTTAAGGATTTGGGATGGATGATCCCACAGCTCGTTGAGGGCAAGGAGGCTGGACATGTTCGGGGCAACTTGAATAGATGACTTCGTGGTTGCGAGTTTGGGGCGAAAGCTTGCGCAGCTCTCGTCGCATTATATCCGAGATTCATCGCTAATAACATCTGGCCAGGCTGACGGTTTGCAGCCACTGTTCCCAGTGGATCCCATTGAGTTTCCGGCATCTCTCGGTATCTTTGAAGCAGGCGCTTGTAGCCTTCATGCGATGCAAGCAGATCTCGCCCCAGCATATCTCGTGAGTCATGGGCATATCGCACAGAGAAAGCTTACTATTATGGCAGAGGCCATTTCCCGTCCTGATTCCCTGTCCATGAGCTGCTGCAGCTGCAACATCCGTGACGTCAAGCTGGAGACAAAGATGGACATGAAGATCAGGGTGAAGCAGGCCTTGCTCTCAATCCAGCTTCATGGCTTCAGAAAAGGAAATTACCTATAGTCTCCATTGTAGTTCCTTTTTGGGGATGCCTTATAAAATCCTTAATATATAATTGGTGAAACCAAAAAAAGGAACTACAATGGAGACTACATGTAAGCTGGAGCCATGTCCACCAAGTGCTTTCAGATGAGCTGCCGTGAAGCCGATATACAGCATCTCGACGAAGGTCCTCTCCTGACATGGGGAGCGCAAGGGATGCCGTGTCTCTAAGAGCAATTTGCTACCCAGATGCTTATTTAAAGCAAGTGAAACTTCGATGTGAGAAATGGAGCATCCTTCTCAAAACAAACCTGACCCCACAGGACACCGACGGAATGCAGAATCAAACTGCGGAAGCGCCCTCAGCCCCTGAACACCTCAACCTGTCTATCCGGAGCAGGAGCTGGCCTCTCTGTCTGTCCGCCCATTGAGCTGGGCCAGCGTCCAACGGACCGCTGCGACATACCTGATTCAGGGGCACTAGGGCCAGGGGCACTTCGGGCTCGGGCTCCCCGCAGCATGTCTCTACGTTTATGGCACTTGATGGAGCAGGCCAAGAACTGGAGAGCAAACAGATACGTAAGTAAGCTGATGAACGGTCTGGCACCACGCGCATCTGAAGTTTATCCAAAGGCAAGCGCCGAAATCGCCGTTTGAGTTAGTCATCGCAAGATCGCACCGAAACAAAAACAAGCCAGACAAGCTTCACTGTACAACGCCAAGGACACTCAACAAGAACGGAACTCCTTCTTGCACAGAATCCAAGGAATATAGTATTGCTGCTGCTCTGGAAGCTCCGCGCCTGACCATCGCAGGCTCCTCCAGGAAGCCCTCCTTGTCAACCCAGCCTGTGGGGCAGGCATTTCTTGATAATTTCTTGGCCGTTTGTTTGCACTTCCCGCGCAGTACAGGGACAGCCCGAGAGACCTGCCGATCCAGCTCGTGAAAGTCACTGGGGCTGAAACATGACAAGCCACGATGTAGCTTCTTCCAGAAGTCAGCAGATCTTGTTATTGTCTGCTAAAAACAAACCACGCTGACCCAAACTAGACGAGCTCTGCGGGCCAGATATGATAGGCTTCCACACCCTGTTAGCGCCTCCGGCTGTATTGAAGCCGACGAAGTGCCAGCCCACAGAGAAGAAGTGAACAGCCTTGCGTTTAGGGGCTCTAGGCCACAAAGAGACCCATCATCCGTGAACCATCCTAGAGCCAGGAACGATCCATACCTTGTGACTTGGGCTGCGAGGTTGCTCCTACTTCAAGTAGCACGGGGATTTGAGACTTCGAAGCATTCAACTACATGTAATGCTCCTAAAGGTAGCTGACAGTCGGGCCAGAAGCATCGCAGATGGGCCCAAAAATACTACAGTACTACAGCCTCTGCTTCGTGATTCGTCATTGACATCCTGTAGAAAAAGCTCTGAAATCCTTGCGGCCAGCACACCAAGAGGAGCAAGGTAGCCATCTTCAGGACCTCGGAGTCTCAGAGGTCGGTGTGAGTGGCTCAGGGTTTGAGGATGCCGTGCAGAGCGCAGCAGAGCAGAGCGGAGCTTTCATGGGTGAGGCCTCGAGGTGCAAAGTGTTAAGGCAGATTCTACTGCTACATTTAAAACTTCTATTTCGGTGAGCGAGACTCTCTTTTTGATTGGAACTCAATGTTGTGTGTCATGCAGCCGCATGCTAAAACCGACTTGTAGCTGCACATACAAACATGCACACTTCATTACATTGCAATGTATTGCATGGCATGGCATTACCATCCTCCCGTCCATCCCTCAATCCATGCATCCGTTCATCAACTCTGCTACCACTACCACGACGACTACACCACAACGACGAAGACGACGACGACGACGACGCCGACTACTACTACTACTACTACTACTACTACTACTGCTACTTCTACTTCTACTTCTACTACTACGACTACGACTACGACTACGACTACGACTACGACTACGACTACGACTACAACTACG